CATATAAGGCTACATATGAACCCTATTTATAGGATTACACTAGTCTTAGAGATTTTAACTTTAAATAATTCATAATTATCTAGAACTCTATCCATAACAATTAAGGATAGAATAGATTTGTTCAAAAACTTTATCCATAACAATTAAGGATAGAAATAGAATTGTATTGCATGTATACCTCTTCTAATGACATTAGTGAGACCAATTGGGTCCCATATCGAGAACCAATTATTAATCAAATTAATAATTTTAATTTAACAATCAAATCCCTATCCGACCAATTGTTCATAAAAGCTCTTCCATTTTTTTTAAAATATTTTCAAAACCACCTGCCGGCAGGAATTTAATAGCTTCATGGGAATGCATAATAAATTAACTCATCATAATGAGCATACTGGATCCTATCTAGACATCCATCATTTTCCTAAATGAAATTTAGCAACCCAATGTTTCAGGTTGTGTAGCGCTTGCTAAACAAGCTTAACCATCACATCAAAGCATACTAAATTATCAAATCGAAAATGATAATATCATCAAGTCAAAGGGACCATGTAACAATTTGAACTCTCTATCTCTTAGGTGACTCATCCTAGAGAATTCAAATACGGTCTAGTGCTACACACATCATAATGCGTGCTTATGACATACACCCGGAGAATCTCCATTCTCGATGGTTGAGACCCACCACCATATCTCATATATCGGTGTCATGCATAATAACCTGTTATAACAAAGTTATCCTTTACTAGTTATAGGTTAAGCACAAATTTAAGAAATTTCTAAGTTAGATCATATCTCCAAGCAAGTGACCATCACAGTGCATGATCTAACAAAAAAACTTCTAAGGATATATATAACAATTATATAAATAATACCCAAATTATGTGCAACAATTAAATTTATTAACATTACAATATTATTACATAATTTGTATTGGATGTTCAAGGGCAAATTATTAATTACTATTCCAGCATTATCATCACGCATGGTTATGTATTAAATGTGGGCACCTTTGATGAGGCAGTTGGATATCCACTTGACTTGTGATATATGCTCTCTGGTGGAGTTCGACCTGAAGATGCCCCCTGATCCGGACTGGGATTATCGGAAGGGTCGGACAATTTAGTTGGACTACGGCTGTATCGGGATGGGTCTCTGATCATATGGCTCGACCCTTTTGACACGTGGCTAGTTCTTAGGGATTCATTAAATTAATGATTTTTAGGGTATAACATTGACCCCTTTCACTCGAACCTAGATATTCGGGTTTGAGAGAAAATGAACTATTTCGTCTCTAGTACCCTTCAAATATGAATGGTCGTGGGCAGTGCGCTATTGTTAGCAAAGATTTCATGCCTAGGTTTTTAAGAGGGGATGTTTCGGTTAACAAGAGTTATCAGTAGGATCACGGAATTATTTTCAATAAAAGGGGAGGTTGCCAAGAAACTCACCGCGATTGAGGGATGATGGTGAAAAGCCGATAGGGATTTTTTCCGAAATTATTTTCAATAATATTTCTATTTCCACAAGGATTTTTTGATTAGTTGTCATCAAGGCGGAAATTATGGGTATAATTTCAGAGAGATTTTGGGGATTACGTGATTGATGAGGATGATAGGAGAGAAGAGAGAAATCGGTTGAGATTAGATTCAGAGTATGCCAAATAACAAACGTAAACACACAATATGATCACGGAGTTCGGTCACCCTCGACCTACGTCTCCGCTCCTCACCCTCGAGGAGAATCTCCACTATCTTCACAAATATCTACACAATCAGTTTTCAATGCTCACAGATAAACGTTTACAACACACATAATTGTAATCACACAATACACCCTCTAAGTATTGGCCTAGCCCGTATCACCTTCCTCAAGTGCTTGGATTTACTATCTCTCCCTATGTTTTACTACCAATGCCATTCCTCTTGGAATTGACCCTGTCTCTCCCAACCACTTCTCTCGATGTCCTAGTGTATTACAATGTGATCTCATAATTAAACACAATAAAAATAGTGTGTTCTTTATTACAAAGATGAGAACTAAGTGTAAGCTCACTCAATCACACCCACAACCCAAATTATACAATATATGAAAATACTTAAGCTCAATAATTGTGTATGAAACAATAAGCAAATATGAAATCTAAACTCAAATCAATCTAGCAAATATATGAGATACAAAATGCAAATAAGCTAGATGAGGAGTTTAAAAAAACTTCTCTAAGAACAAAGATGATAGATGATGATTTCAGGTTGAACTCCTCGAAATGAAAATCAAGCTCTTCTCTTTGTGAAGCTTTCTTCACATGAACAAACCAAGCTTTTTCTCTCTTAAAACTCAGAAACAAACAATCCAAAACACTTGTAAAAACACTTCAAAAACTCTGCCAAAGAACCAAGACAAGAGGGGTAGATATAGCCCCAAAAACTTAGATCACGAAAACTAGTCGTTGGCTGAAAATACACTAGCAGTCAACTGATAAAAAGGATAAGTCGGTTGATAAACTAGCCATTGGAATAGTGTTGGCAGATTTAGGAATTTTTTTTTACGTATTTGGCTTTCTAAAATCGATTAAAAATAGTAAAGCAACTCCAAAAATCGTGAAATTTTTAGGAAAATTTCTAAACATGTTAGAGAAAGAATTTCTAAAATATAACTTCCTATTATGAGAAATAACTGTTTTAAAACTGATATTCCAGATTCTGAAAACTGTTTAAATACTTGATTTTGTAAAATCAATTTAACATAGTAAATCAACTCCAAAATAGTAAAACTTCGGGAAATGCTTATAAATATGTAATAGAAAATTTTAGAAAAAGAATTTCTCAATTTACATTTCCCATTTGTGAAAACTTATTTATTTTGTAAACTGTTCAAGAATACGAAAACGTTAAAACTTGATTTTGATGAATTCGTTCCAAACAAGTTTTAAAACACTTTTCAATAGATTAATAGACTTGAGGAAATATATAAAATAGTGTAATCAAGTTTTTAATCCATAAACACATTATTTTCCCAAAAACATATAATACGATATAACGAAATGTGTATGTGTGAAATTTAAGCTTTAAGCATAACACACAAAGTATAAACACCTAAACTAATGTACCCAAGCTATAGGTCTTTAATGTAGCTCATCTTGGTTGTAGATAAAGCAACATTAGATTTTGACTTGAATTGCGAAGCTTCATTCCAAATGTCCTTCCAACCTTTCCTTTGAATGTCATCGTTAAGCTTTCCAACCAACCTCTAACATAGGATCTCTGTGTAGGATACCTAACAATCAAATATAAATACTTGACAAACATTGTTAGGAATTGTTTGTTAATAATCAAGACTATATTAGATAGTAGACTCAAAAACATGAGACCTAACATATGATTACTACAATAAAGCATGAGAAATAAAATAAAATAAAAGTAAACAAACATATATAACAACAAATAAAAATAGAAGAAAATATATAGACATAATCGAGTAGGGTAGAATGAGGAACCTGATAATGTATTAGGGGACGACCCA